CTCCGGGAACTGGTGACGCCACGCGTCCGTCAGGCGGCCAAAGCAGCGCTGGGTGGGGTGCGCACCCCCACACTGCTCACCCGCACGGTCGCCGGTGCGCAGGACGTAGGTGCACGGACCAAAACCCCCACCCCGCTGGCGTGCAGTGTACCACTCACGGAGCTGCTGAGGGGACAGGGTCTCACGACCGCGCTTCTGCTGCTGGCGCGAGCCACCACCGGAGCCACTCCTCTGCGAAGACCCGCTACCAGCTCCACTGCCACCCGCGCCGCCTCCGCCGCCTCCGCCGCCTCCGTCGCCTCCGCTACTGCCGTCGCCTCCGCCGCCTCCTCCACCGCTACCACCTCCGCCACCTCCGCTCTCACCGCCGCCGCCGCCTCCGCCTCCTCTGCCGCCACCGACCCCTCCACTCCTACCTCCACTCCCACCGCCACCCCCACTCCCCCCACCGCCTCCACCTCCACCTCCACCTCCACCGCCCCCGCTCGCTCCTCCAGCACCCCTGCCCCCCTTGCCCTTGCCACGGCGGCGTCTCCCGCTAGGGGCAGACGCCGCACCGACCGACTCAAGACCAAGGAGGTCGGCCGCAGCAGCAGAGGCAACAGAGGGTAGAAGGGGGGAGGGGGAACACCCCTCAAAGATGGGGATGCGCGGGTCACCTCGAGAGGCTCCTACAGCGACTATGCTTTTCTCTATCGCTAGGAGGGCCTTCTCGAGGAGGTCAACAGTGAGAGTGGTGGGACAGACTGAGAGGAAGTGGTCCCTGACTACACGAGGGGAGTCAGGGAGGCGAGTAACTATGTAGTAGAGAGTGATGTACATGGGGGTGGGGTTCTTGGCACAGAAGTCAGCAGGAAGTGCAGCGCGGTAGCGAGTGTCACTAGTGCGGAGGTGCGTAATGAGGTCAGCTACTGTGGGAAAGGCAGCAAGGTCAGGGAAGAGGTACGGTAGCATGAGACGGCTCAGTGCAGCAGTGGCAGGGGAGGAGTAGCGTGCGAATATAGCGTCGTACAAGGTCTGAGCACTCTTGTAGTGACTAAAGTGCGCACGCTCAAAGGTAGGGAGGTCGCGACACACAGCAAGACGTGCAGCAGCGTCGCGCGTGGCCCACTGGGAACGAACAGTGGCGTCAGCATCAGCAGCAGGGGCAGCAGAAGCGCCAGAGGTAAGGTCAAAGAGAGAGAGGCCGTCTGCCCTATCGCACTATAAGAACAGCTGCAGGTCATCTACCCAGACCTCAAAGTCAATGGCCCAACCCTCAGCATCAAAGGCGAGGACACTAGGGGTAGCCATGACCACAGACGACTAGCAGTGCAAACAGTAGGGTGAGGGCAGTGCAGTGAAAGAGGCGCTGTGCTCACCAGACTGGGCAGCTCGGGCGGCCCGGAAGTAGGGTGGCTCGGCGGCTCGGCGTCTCGGCTGCTGGGCGGCTCGGCTGCTCGGCGGCTCTGTTGCTGGGCGGCTCGGGTGCTGGGCGGCTCGGCTGTTGGGCGCCTCGGCTGCTGGGCGGCTCGAGTGCTGGGCGGCTCGGCTGCCGGGCGGCTCGGCTGCTCTGCCGCTGGGCGACGCGGTTATGCTGCTGTAGGGCGGCGCGCGGCGGTCGGCTGCTCGGCTCGGGTGGCGGGCAGCGCTGCAGCAGGTGACGGGGCCGAAGGTAGGGTGGCGGGGCCGCAGGTAAGGTGGCGGGGCCGCAGGTAGGGTGGCGGGGCCGCTTATAGGGTGGCCGGGCCGCAGGTAAGGTGGCGGGGCCACAAGTAAGGTGGCAGGGCCGCAGGTAAGGCGGCGAAGCCGCGGGTAGGGGCGGCACGCGACGCCGCGAAGGGCGGCGACGGGCCGGTACGGGCGGCGACGGGCCTGGACAGGCGGCGCACGGGCGGCGACGAGCCGGGACGGGCGGCGACGGGCCGGGACTGGCAGCGCACGGGCGGCGACGGGCCGGGACAACGGCGCGGGGCCGGGACGGGCGGCGCACGGGCGGCGACGGGCCGGGACGGGCGGCGTCGGGCCGGTACGGGCGGCGTAAGGGCGGCGCCGGGCCGCGTAGGGTGGCGACGGGCCGCTAAGGGCGGCGACGGGCCGCTAAGGGCGGTGCCGGGCCGCTAAGGGCGGCGACGGGCCGCTAAGGGCGGCGCCGGGCCGCTAAGGGCGGCGACGGCCGAGCAAGGGCGGCGGATGGGAGGCCGCTAGGGGCGACACGACGAGGCCGACGGAGGCCTAAGCGAGGCGCGCTCCGGGAAGAAAAAAAAAAGCCGTAGTAGTGGTGGGCCCTAGTGACAAAGTTTGAAGAAAGAAAAAGGGAATGAACTAGCAGAAATGGGGATACAAATAGCAAACCCTAGAAGGGTTGTACTCGCTATAGAGCACCCCACTACTGGCTAGAACATAAGAATAATATTCTGACACCTAGGAATCGTTCCCGTTAGGGAACCTGCTCGATACCATGAGAAGAAACGAGAATGAATGAACTATGAATGAAGTGGGTACAAGTACTAACCCTAATTGGGTTGTACCCCCTATGGGATACCCCACTACAGCCTACACAATAGTATAAGCTATAATGTTCTGACAGTCCTTGCGAAGCACAGCACGTGACGTCAACCTTCTTCGCCTTGCTGTGTGGGTTTCCGTTCCGTCCCACATTCACACGTCCACACCGAAGGTCCCCTGGCAGATCGTCGGGTCAATCCTCATTTACACAAACGCGATCTCCCAAACCCAAGACGACGGACTAGTAAGTAATGGTGAGGGGTGCGGGCTTGGTTCTGCTCCGTCCGCTGTAGAAGTGATGATGAGTATTTGAAATGCTTTAGCTAAGACGGGAGAAGCTCACCACTACTGTACTGTACTTGGGTCCAGTGCGTTCGTCCCTTGCTCGTTTTGTGTGGTTACTCATGTTGCGCCACGGTACAAAACGGTGAACCTTGAAAACCGCTTTGCACCGTCTGGAATCGTTTTTGAGCCACCGATTAACTGTAAACGAACCCGCTACCCGCCCCAACACAAGATACAGTTCAGTACAACGGGCATTTTCCTCCAAACAGAGACTGTGAACCTGTCACGGACTGCAAGGCAACCACGCCAACCGTTCCCTTAGGAATGAAAACCGCTGATCTTCTCCCCATCGGAGTCCATCCGGGCCCTGGTAGGTTCGAATCCACCAGGTGCCCCTTTTGGTGGGTTTCGAACCCACCAGGACGCGCGAGCTGGCGGAAGCTGTCTGCCCGGGGCAAAAAAAAAAAACTCTTCCCCATCGCGACAGGCATGCCATTCGGGAACCTCAACACTAAAATTTTAGGGTTGATGCTCCCGACCCGAACCGCATGCCTTCGGAGCGGTTTTTAGTTTTTTTCTGCCCTAGGGCAGCTCGCTTCCGTGAGCACGCGGAACCGATCCCGCATTCGCCCGTGTTTTACTGTTTGGGCGTGCATGAACCTTTGAGGATCCATCCGAAACCTGGCCTTGTTGGATTTTGATGAGGTAAGCTTTCCAGTCAGCCAATCATTGGCACTGCTGCCTTGACCTTGAAAGCATATATCATCACGGGCGATTGCGACCACGTGATATGTGCAATTGCTCCCGCAAGGAACGTTGATCAGCCACATCTCTCTGCTCGGCGTGGAAGGTCCGCCAGAGCAACATACCAACGTACATAACGAAACCAACGTACCTTCCTGACGAAGGGAGGTACCTCATCGTCTTGGAATGGGAGGTGACTGTAACGCGAGATTTGTAGAGGGGATTTTCAAGATCCGTAACTTGTTCTACAAAGCAAAAAATAAAAATAAAAACAGCACAAACTCTTTAGCGAATTGAAGTAAGATTCTCGCAATTTTTGGTGCAATCTCAGCTCGATTAGCATAATACCCATGTCTTTGGGTAAGTATTTGCTGAGATGGAGCCAGGAGGCATCCCACAAGGAAGAACGGCTGTATGTATGTGTGGAAGTCGAATGGTTCATGTGCACCTGTCTATGGTCAATCAGAACCCCGTCCCCGTCAGTATCAAATCAGCTGTTCCTTGAACATGCCGTGCACCAGGGCCCTAGATATCAGACTTTGTAGTCTGATTCAGAGTCCGTTCAGATTTTTTTTTTGTACCTAGTCTGAAGTCTAAGAATATCTTTATGTACCTTGTCTGATTTTTCAGAGTTTTGCTTTATGAGTTGTCTGAAATTTCAGCCTAGTTTTATTAGTGTAGGCTGAGCCTCATACTTGTATCGGGGGTGCCCCCTGAAACCCGTAATACAGCGGTTTCCGCCAGCCTGGTGGCGTGTAGCACTCACCGTCAATCACGGGCGGGAAACCAAAATTTCCCGAGCGCGGCACCGCAAACTCCCGAGCAGGGTCCTCGCTAGGTTTTGAACCCCCCTGATGCGTTAGATGGGCCCATCGGGCACACGCTTGCCCTGTCACACCACTTTTGCCCTCTATCACACCGAAGAGTCAACCTGTCAGGGCAAAAATCCGCCCTGTCAAGGAAGAGATTCGCCCTGCCTAGGGTGAAGTGCGAAGGTTCGCCTTGTACAGAGCGAAGAGATTCGCCCTGTACAGCCCTGCCTAGGGTGAAGTGCGAAGGTTCGCCTTGTACAGAGCGAAGAGATTCGCCCTGTACAGAGCGAAGTGCGAAAATTCGCCCTGTCAGGGTGAAGATTCTAACTGTCAGGGCGAAGATTAGCCCTGTCTGGGCAGAGATTTGCCTTATCAGGGTAGAGATTCGCCTTGTCAGGGTAGAGATTCGCCTTGTCAGAGCTGTAAATCTCGTTATTCTATGTTTCAGTTTAAGACAACAAAGAAATTGTGTTTAACTCTGAACGTTCAGCGTAAAAAACGTAGTGCTGTCTGAATTTTCAGACTAGAAAAAATAGGTAACTCTGACAGCCAGACTAGGAAGAGGGGTGTACTCTGAGGCATCATACTACCTCAAAACGAATCTAGGGGCCTGCCGTGCACATCCAAGATGTGCTTATAACGAACTGTTGCATTCAGAGGAGCGCCACGCCATCACCTCCCAGAGTAACGGCCATGATGGGCCAAGGAGGCAGCAAGGGGTTGGAAGAGAGCTGGTAAAGCACCACCAGTGGAGAAGCGCTGCTGCAGCATGGCCGGGCGTGCCCGTATGGGAGCTTGCATGTGCGCGCCCGTGGGGTTAGTGGGTGTGTGCAGTGCACTGGTGACGACAGAGGCCACTGGATGTTGAGAAAGTACTGCTATCCAGGGCATTTGTGGCTGTGGCAGAGGCACTTGTTGCGGCAGTGGCTGCAGCTGCGGCTGTGGCAGTGGCAGTGGCAGTGGCAGTGGCAGTGGCAGTGGCAGTGGCTGTGACTGTAACTGCAGCTGTGCCTGGTGCGTTGGCAGCGAGAGCATGCGTTCAAGCTCTAGACGCTGACAAGCAGTCCGCTGCTCAAGAGCAGCCTCTTGGGTGAGAAAGCACTCCTGCCTGTGCGGGTGACCTTCCTCCATGGTCCCTCCCTGCTCCACCACCCACTCTGGCTCGGCTGTCCCAGCAGCGCCAGGGGCTGCTGGTCGCTCAGCCTGAGGCACAGTGGCCAAGGGCACGGCGAGGGCACTGCCTGTGAGCAGCACGTGAGCCAAAGGCGTGTTGAGAAAGAGAGCATCGTTGTCACTGTGGTCTTCGCTATCATTGTCGTCCGTGTTGTGTCTGTTGTCGGTATGGTGTCGGTTGTCGGTATGGTGTCTGTTGTCGGTGTTGTGTCTGTTGCCAAGCATGTTGACGCATGCGTCCATGTATTCCTGCTCCTCTCTGCCACACGTACTCCCAACAAGCGACCCTGTGATGCAGCTGCTCGTGCTGCAAGCAGCGGAGCCAAGCAGAGCAGCGAGGACGGGGGCCATCGGCGCTGGCAGTACTGCGTGTGGCTGGGTGGGTGGAGGAGCAGAGAGAGCAGCGCGTTGCATGAAGGCAGGTCCGTCGCTGCTGCACCCCAGCAGCACGTCGTCTGGAAGAGCACTCTCCGACCCAACGCGGGGCCGGTCCATTGAATGCACTGCGAAATCCCCAATGCACCGAGCTGCATCCCCACAGCAGGAGGTGGAATCCCCAATGCAGAGCGCGGAGCCACGCAGAGCAGCGAGTGGGGAGGCCATTGGCGCTGGCAGCGCTGCTAGTGGCTGGGTGGACGGAGGAGCACGTTGCGTGAAGGCAGGTTCGTCGCTGCTGAATCCCAGCAGCACGTCGTCTGGAAGGGCACTCTCCGACCCAACGCGGGGCCGGTCCACCTGCTGCACCCTGCTCTTCGCTCCTCCCTGCTGCAGCTGCCGATGCTCCTCCTGCAGCAGTGCCCCCAGAAGGGCTGCTTCACCTGCCTGCACGCAGCTGCTCGCCCCCTGCTGCTGGAACTGCTCTGCCACCGACTGACGCCGGCTTTCCGAGCCACACACCATTCCACCTTGCACCATCCCTCCTTGCACCGTCCCGCCTCGCACCACCCCACCTTGCAGCAACTGGCTCTCGCGTCCCAGCAGCGGTTTTTGTGCCCCCACCTCAGGGCAATCGTCTCTTGGTCGCTTCACTGCCCGACACAGAGCAGCGGTGTTAGAGGAAGCAGCAACGGGAAAAGCATCCTGGGCGAAGGGAAACTCGTAGGTACAATCAGCCACAGCAGAGAAGGTGGCGCCTTGGGAAACAGCAGGAGGAGCCTGGGAAGCAGGAGGAGGGGTGGCGAGGGATGAGAGGTTGGGCGGGGCGGGTGGGAGGCAACAGCGAGCGTGGGGGGCGAGGAACGCCGTCACGCACTCCTCATACGACAGCCCTCCGAACGCCAGGGCTGCTGCTCCCACGCCCTCCGAGCGCTGCTGCTGCTGCTGCTGCTGGTGCTTTACATCCTGGCAGAGCAGTGGCTGACTGTGTCGGTTGAACGTAATATTCTGGGGTTGTGCAGCAACTCCCAGGTGCTTTTGCAGGAAGTTTTGGCGAAAGCGGTCTGTGAACTTCCTGCCATCACCACACGGCCACAGGAGAGAAGGGGTGTGAGAAATGCTCAGGGGTATCAAGACACCTGGATTCAGAAAATCAAGATTGTGGCATGCAGGGGTACCTCCGGAGGAAGATGTAACGGTTACAGCACGACTTGTTGTTCCTCTTGAGCTGACCGCTCCTCCCCAGCTCGCCCCACTGCTTCGTGCCGCACTGCAGCGCGTGGCGCAGCAGCACCGCGTCCTCCTGCCCACCCAGTGCGGGAGGCAATGGCAGCGTGAGTGAGTGCGGAGTATAATCTCCAGGCAATGGCATGAGCATTGAGGCGAAAGTGCGCGGCTCCAGGCACACTGAACGTGTCCTGACGCGTACAGGTAGCATAATCCCTCGGACATAACAAAAGGAAATGCAAGGTTGGATCCTGTTTCCCATTGCAAGCTTAAAATCTGGCCGATCACGCGAGTCGCGACTCACCTCTCGCGACCATGGCTGCATGCAGGGCGACGCGGATTGCGAGGCCGACGAGTCAACGCCTTCAGTGGAATGCGGCATGGCGGCCAAGCTGCTGTTATTAGAAAGCATAAGTGCTGCTTTTAGCCAGAAGAGTTAAATGACGGATAGCATGAGTGTGCCAGTGAGTCTTGCAAGTCTATATCCCTAATTCAAGAGGGCACGGAATGACGTCAGCGTCGAGCAAAGATCCATGCACAAGGCCGTGGCTTGATTGTGCCACTGTCAGTGGCACAACGTGATGAGCTTCAGTTCCGGACTGTGGGCCTCCGACTCTCCGAGGCTTCTGATGAGCCGGAATGAGTCAACACGACACGACAGGGCTTCGTTTCGTCTTGACATCCGAGGAACGCTTTCTTGCCCCATTTCGACTTGAAACGCGCGCAGCTGGCGACTCCCGGGAAGGTGTACGACAGGGGCAGCTGGGTGATGCGGCGTGAGCGAGAATGCGGCGGTGAAGTGTGGGCCAAGTGGGCTCACAAGGAAGGGTAATGGGAATCATTGCACCGACCTAGCTGTCGACTGATAGCCAGCATTCCCGCACTTGAATCCTCCAATAGGAGATGGCAACATTATAAATCGTATAAAGTACACTGGATGCATGTGATGCACCCCTCGAATTTCGCCTTCACATGAGTGTGGAATGGGAGGCATTCACCGTGTGATACGAGGCACGTGAACGAACTACTGCCAGCAGTGAAAACTGTCGTGTTCGCGATTTTTCCGAATCAGACAGTATAGGGGAAGAGAGCACGTGTACAGTACCACCAAATGAAGCCGGTGGCTGCAGCTGCCAGCTCCATTGGCCCCCCGGATCGCACATCCAATCACGGTGGACGGGAGGGCAAGACATCGTTGACCTGGCAAGCAACTGCTGTCAAGTGCCGTATCTCGGGCAAGACCGGGAATAACCTACTATCTTGAAGATTGCGGCGTGCAATAGCAGCAACTAGGGACTCATCAAGTGTTGCCGTAGACTGTGCGATCAGCCATCCGTCAGCAGCAGCCGAGTGAGTGTGTCTGCTTTTCACCTAGGCTCGTGTGGGTGTGCAGGCGTGGATGGGAACAATCATTCATTTGTGCCCTTAGCATGGACTATGTACAGTTGTGTTAAACTCGTATGTGTGTGGTGCTTGTTCTTGCTGTGACCAATGAATACGGTACCCCATACAAACTTTCCACATTCTCCCCCCTAGAATTCCTCCATATACCACAAGAATACCATACCAGTTGTTACGAGTGCAATGGAGTGAGCGAACGAAGATTGCACTATCGAAGCAAGTGTACAAAATGAGCAAAGGCATGAGCGAAGGATTATATAGCGAAATTATAGTGGTAACGGTAATGGACTGTGGTTGTCGCGCGACGGGCCTGGGACTGAGGTTGGGAAAAGTGTCGAGGCGGAGGTCCGGAGCGCGGGTTACCGCCGAGCCGTGAGGTCGGGGTGCGACATGCGAAAATTGGCGGGCGGATTATTGATGCGAATGGTAACGGTGCTGACTGAGGTGCTACAGTGATGTACGCGTTGAGCGGGGATGCGAAGTAAGGAAAAGGAATTTTCCTTACACTTCCCCCCTCCCCAAGGAGGCCCCTCTTACGAGAGCGCATGGATGTCGCGGAAATTTCGGCTTCGCAGATACTCGGTGAAGACAGGGTGGTTCTCGATTTTATCCAGGGGGACCCAGTTGTCTTCTGTGGGCGTTCGGTCCTTCCAGCGAATTAGAAACTCGATTCTTCGGGCTCCCCGAGGATCGCGGACTCGGTGGCTGAGGATTTTTTCGGGGGTGATGATTGGTTCGGTTGGGGGGCGTGTCATGCTGGCTGGGCGATTGCGTGGCAGTTGGCTCGTGGATGGGATGTAAGGGCGAAGTAGGCTGACGTGGAATGACGGGCTGACGTACCAGTCAGCAGGGAGGAGGAGGTGGGCGGTGACGGGTGTGATCATGTGGCTGATGCGAAATGGCCCACAATATCGGGGGCGAAGTTTTGGAGTGATGGGCAGGCGGAGGTTCTGAGTATCGAGTAGTACTAGGTCGTCTGGCTGGTAAGTGACAGGTCGGCGGTGGCGATCGGCGTTGCGCTTAGCGATGATGTTGGCTTTTTTAATTGCGTCTGCTGCCCTGGTCCGTGCTGCTTGCAAAATCTCGGCGAACTGTTGTGCTCGTGGGACTGGATTGTCGGGATTTGGGGTCATGGGTACTGTTGGGTCCTGTCCGTAGTTCAGGTAAAACGGTGACTGTTGGGTCGTGGCGGAGGGCGAGTTGTTGTACGCGAATTCAATGAGTGGCAGTTGCTGTTCCCACGTGTTCGGGTCGTCGCACGTGGCCCGGATGAGCTGCTCCATGGTCTGGTTTGTCCGTTCTGTCTGTCCGTCCGTTTCGGGGTGATACTAAGAACTGAACTGTAGTCGCGTACCAAATTGCTGCCACAGGTTCCGCCAGAAGTTGCTGGTGAATTTCGTGTCGCGGTCGCTGATAATTGCCGATGGTATCCCGTGGAGGCGAACAACGGTGGCGATGAAGAGGCGGGCTGTTTCTTCGGCTGTGATTGATTTCTTGCATGCTGCGAAATGTGCCATTTTCGTCAGTCGATCGACGACGACCAGGATCGCGTCGTTCCCACTCGCCCCGGCCGGTAACCCCGTGACGAAGTCCATCGTCACCTGCTGCCAAGCGCGCTCTGGGGGTGGAATCGGCTGCAACTGTCCTGCCGGCCGCTTCCGTGATGATTTCATGACCTGGCAGGTGGGACACGATGCTACGTGTCGTTGGATGTCGGTCAACATTTCTGGCCAGTAATAATACCGCTGCAGCTGCTGCCGTGTTTTTTCTACCCCAAAATGTCCCGAGGTAACTCCGTCGTGTGCCTCCTGTAACAGTAATTCCCGTAGTAGTGTATACCCGGGTACCCAAATGCAGTCGGTCCCGGCTTTTACGTAATAGACCCCTCGTGCTGCTGCGAACTGCTGCGAATTGCCTCCGGTGAAGAATGGGTCTGTTTGATACCCGTGGGTAAATAGTCCTGTCAGTAGCGGGCTAGTTTGGGCGAGTAGTATTGCGTGGATTTGGGCAGTGGGGCGGGTCAGTGCGTCGGCAATGTTGGAAGCTCCCTTTTTGTAGGTGACCGTGTAATGAAAATTCGACTCGAGAAAGTCGAGCCAGCGGATCTGTCGTGGGTTGAGATGGGGTTGTGCGCGGAGATACTGTAGTGATCGGTGGTCTGTCCGTACTGTCACGTCTGCGCCGGTCAAGTAACAGCGCCACACTTTGAACGCATGCACGATCGCAAGCATTTCGCGATCGTGTATCGGGTAATTCTTCTCAGGTGGGTGCAGCTTTCGTGATTTGTATGCGATGGGCTGTAGGCCATTCCCGAAATCCTGTAGCAGTACGGCTCCGATGGCGATGTCGCTTGCGTCAGTAATGACTTCGAATGGGCGGTGTGGGTCGGCAATGCGCAGGACAGGCGGTGAACAGAGAACAGTTTTCAGGGTAGAGAAGGCAGCATGCTCTTTCTCCCCCCACGTAAAAACGACCCCCTTCCGCAGCAGATCCGTCAGTGGGGCAGTTAAGCGTGCCATGTCAGGGACGAACCGACGGACGTAATTAACAAAACCCAAAAAACTCTGCAGCTCCGTGATGTTTGTCGGGGGGTGCCAAGCCTTGACCGTATCCAGCTTCTTCGGGTCAATCTCAACCCCAGCCTCCGAAATAACGTGCCCCAAAAATTCTAACCTATCCCGAAAGAACTCGCACTTAGACCCCTTGGTCAATAAACGATGCTCCTCTAAAATTTTAAACACTGCTTCCAGGTCCGCTAAATGCTGCTGCTTATCCCGGCTGTAGACGAGAATGTCGTCGAGGTAGACTATCACACACTTATCTAAAAGTGGTCTAAACGCCTCGTTCATGGTCATCTGGAATGTTGCGGGTGCGTTGGTCAGCCCGAAAGGCATTACGGTATACTCGAACGACCCGTACCTAGTCCGAAAAGCTGTCTTGGCGCAGTCCGATGGTTCGACTCTAATTTGGTGGTAACCTCCCCGTAAATCTATCTTCGAGAACACCCGTGCTGTTCGCAGTTGGTTGATCAGTTCGTCGGCGCGGGGAATGGGGTATCGTGACTTCACTGTAACCCTGTTGAGCGCTCGGTAATCGATGCACATGCGAAACCCTCCATCTTTTTTTGGTGTGAATAGTATCGGTGCGGCGAACGGCGACGAGCTCGGTCGGATAAACTGCTTCGCTAACAGGTAATCTAACTGCTTCCTCAGTTCGTCGAGCTCCGGCTGTGTCAGTCTGAACTGGCGCTGTACAGTTGGCTGTGCCCCCGGCTCTAACTCTATCCTATGGTCGTGCGCCCGCTGAGGTGGCAGTCCTTCCGGTAAGTCGTCGGGGAAAATTCCCGGGTACCGTTTCAATAGCTCCTGTAGTTCAGGCGGTACCGTTGTCAGCAATTTCTGAAAATCACTCGGCTGCTCATCTTTTCCTACCACTGCGATGTCCACTGCATACATGTCAGCTCCAGCGGCGACTGCCCGTTTCATTGTTATGGCGTTGACGTGGACCGTCGATGACTCAGGCGACTGCCAGCGTGGTAGTTCGACCCAGTTACCACTACTCCGCACAGTGCAGCTGCCTGTCGTCCAGTCGATTCTCGGATTGTAACGTCGCAACCAATCACGTCCTAGTAAAATGTCGTGCCCATCCAGTGTCGTCGCGAGCATTTCTTGTGTAAACCCAAAGTTCCCTCCGCAGCGAACTTTTACTCTCTCCACCTTCTCCCGTATGGCCAGCGGCGTGCCG